TGGGAGATATCCACCAAGCGCCTGCTAAGAACCCCGGAAGTACCCCCTAAGTACCCGCTAAGCACCTGGAAAATACCCGCAGGGTGCTTGAAAAGTACACACCAAGTACCAAGAACTTGAGAAGTATCTGACAAGTGTCTACCAAGTACCTGTCAAGAATTCGTAAAATGCACACCACCGACCCGAGAAGTTTCTGCTTATCAACTAGCTACGCTAAGAAAGTACACGACACCAAATGTTTACTACGAACCATTTAAGATAATAAAAAATAACTGTTAACCACTTGCCAAGATTCCAGAAAGAGCCTGTCAAGTTTCTGCTAAATTTCTAAGAAATTGCCACCTAGTTGCAAGGAAATGCCCATGAAGTACTTATCACAAGCTAGCCATATGCCCATCACCATATGTTTACCGTGTACCTATTAAGTTTCTGCGAAGTATTTACCTGAAGCCCAGAAGAAGCCTGCCTAGTGTTTACCAAATGCCTGAGGAGTTCCAGCAACGTAATCAGATAGTATTATTCAAGATGCTGCTACGTTCTCACAAAGCGCCTAGGTTTGATGTTTAAGATGTTATTTAGATGCTTTTTTTTGTATTTAATTTATTTTTATTACTTCCTTAATTTAATTTAATTTATTTTTTGTCTTATGTTACAGGATTTTATTCTCTCTGCGTCAATTTATACTAATGGTTATTGAGTAAATGCAGAAGAACAATAATTAATATTTTGTTACCGTGATATTTCAAGTTATTATTTGATAGAGCGACAAGTATACGAATATTTTAAAGAAATGATTAATTATTTTTTTATAAAACAATTAGATAATATCTAGAGCAGTTTTATATGCATTATTTTAGAGTGCATAAGTTTGTACGATAAATTAATGATTTCATGTGATATCAGCAATGTCAACTGTAATATTCTTTGCAAAAAGTTTTCAATAATTTACTTTATTTAAATCAATAATAACAAAACATAAAATTGGGTAAACTGGTCATTTATGGATGTGGTAGTTTTTTCTTCTAGCTTCACAGTCTTTATAATTTTTATACTCTTTTATTGTTGCATTGCTTATTATTTTAAATACAAAATATATATTACTGTCACTATCTTATTAGCAAAATCAGATCCTGCAGCTAAATTACGATCAACTTTTTATTACATTCTTAAACAATCTTTGTCTCATGAAGTTTACAAACTAAACAAAAGGTGTGCTCATTGTTTCCTTTCAAATTTACTACTCCAAGTGTATAAACACCTCATACCTTTTATTTCACTGTCCTCTCCTGAGCCATCCTTTTAATTAAACTGTTTAGAGGTGTGATACATAGGTAACCGTATGAATGTTATTCATTCACTGGTTATAATTACTTTGAACGACGAGCAAATGCACACTAGAATCTTGTAGTGAAATGCGGTATATTATCATTTTATTATGCATATTATACTTACGTACAGCAAGAGCGTACAACCATTTTTTTTGCTGGTCATCGCTTGATGTGTAAGCAAGTATTATAGCCTCAACATTACAAGCAGTAAGTAGACGCTCTTGCGTGTGCATAAATACATCCATGTATACAGTTCTCACTGCTTACTGACTAAGCTCAATGATAATATGACAACGATGTCTGCTTATGCAGGTGCGCCAAAACCGTATTTAGAGGTAGTTTGTAACGTATTTTCAAGCACTTAACATTTAAAAGCTATTTGCTACAGAAATTTAATTTTAACAGGTAGTCAGGCCGAAATAAATAAAATTAATAGCTAAAAATTAGGATTAAAGGTAGGTTTGTAGCCCTTAACATCCATGCAAAATTTCAGCTTCATTTGATTCAATGTTCTTGCATACTGCAGCGATAACCAAAAAAGGTCCTTAAAAAAACTGCTATGAAAAAGGTTGTAGCAAACTTATAAACATGTATGAAAAGCACTTTTACTTGTCTAAAAGTAACTCTACCACACGAAAAAATTTTCTGAAATTCAAATACGTGCAACTACCAAAACTGTTAATTACAAAAATATTAAGTTTCTGACGGCGGCGTGGCCTTGTGGCACCGCCTATTCGGCTGCTATAGGCCCAATTACTTAATTTTACTAACGTCAGCTCAAGAATTTTTTGAACTCCTTGTCGCCACCGTATTGAACGTAGGCCACGTTGGCTGCTCTCTCAAAAATCACGGAGTTTTGGAATTTGTGCATAACTTAATGAACAGATTGCGATTTCAAAAAAGTTATTTTTTTCATCTTTTTGTTATGATTTTTTGGTATGAAACACTTTTTGCCGTCAAACACGTAGTTCTCTGGTTTAACGCCAGAAATCAGTTTTGACAGATTTTGGTATTATTTTTTACAGCCACGCTGCAACTCAAAAAATGTACAAAATTAATGTTTATACGACCACAAGGATCTATAAAAAAAAATTTTTTTATACATAACTATCAATGAATAAAGATTTTTTTAATTATTGGTATCAATTTTTGGGACGCAAAAGCTAAATCTGCTCAAACAGGAGCCCGCTACAGAAAAAATCGCTCTACACGCTGTTCACGGAAAATGCCACGGTTACATATCAGCCTGTATTAAGATTAAGGACGTTGATAGTATGTGTATTGACAAGTTAATATTGATATGTAAGTGGTAGATAACAGTATTATTTGCATACTGCACGATGTTGATTTTCGGAAAAAAAATCAGATTATTCTCCTAAACACGTATGTGTTAAAAAAAGGGATTAAAACACATTTCTGTGGGACAACTCTGTTTTTTTAAAACAGACCTGTTGAGTAATTACCAGTTTTAAAGATGAGGTTTCGGTTAGATATTTAGTTAAAGACAAGAGATCTTGTTTTAATTGGAATTTCCATTTTTATAAAAATATTGTTAGGAGTAAGTGAGCAAACACAGTCAAGAACTAATTTAATGTCAAGAAATAACGAGCAGATATAGTGTTCCCTGTTTAAAGATGGTAAACATCTAAAATCAATTGGGCCAGCATGTTGACATCATTTCCTTTTTTTGAATCCACATTGTGATTCGGGTAACATATTGCGTTGTTCTATGTAGAGTTGAAGTCTGGAGTTAATCATGCAATCTATTGTTTTTGGAATGTAGAAAGCAAAAACAGAAAGTTTTTGTAATGGGCGGGTAGTTTTAATTTGGTAAAAGTTATTTATACATTAAAGTGCATTAAAAGTGAAGAAAGCTTTTTGAAGCATTAGGACTGTTATTTGATCAACCTCTGAAAATGGCAGAAGTTTGCTAGCGTTAACAGCAAAAGTATGTTTGCTTATGAAAAACTGTGCAATTAAATAAAAAGTTTCAGGGTCAGAGATAAGGTCTTATGCGGAAGACAAAGTATCTAAATTTGTATTGTGGTGATTCTGATTGAAAGAAATCTGAAATAAATTCTTACGAATTTTGTACTATTTATTTATCATAATTGAGTTAAGTTTATTTTATTTGAAATGATTATAAAACAGTTTATGGTGTTTCACAGTTTATAATTTTGGTATTAGGATCGATCTTGAGGCTTTCTTCAACGTATTTTTAGAATTACCCTTTCTTTATACCTCTAAATCTGTTTTTATTATATACTTGATTTTGTTTAAGGATGTATAGTGTAACATCGGTGTATCCACATTAATTTTTTTTCCTTGCTTTAAAACTTTCCGTGCCAATTTTAAAATACAAAATGCAGGGCCCAATGTGCATCTGGGGCTTTATCTTGAAAAAAAAGTACGCGCGTATTGCGACCGTCAGGTGATGCGGTAAGGTAATTATTTGTCTTATCGACTGTTGAAATGACTAGAGAAATTTATATAAATCCCCTTTTACGCTAGAAAAAAAGTTTCAATTTGTACAGTACCACGAAATTCAAATTTTGAATTGTTTGCAGTATTGAGGAAACAATTGTTTGAGAAATAAAAGTCATTATAATTATCATATAACTGTATAATAATAACAATTGTGATACAAAAAACAGCAGAGTGCCTGCGGGAACGTTTGTCAAATGGGTATAGTTCTTATTTATAATAAACTAGTAGTAAAGTAATTATTAATAATTAATATTTGTAAGATTTAAAAATGAAGATTTGGTGACCATAAGAAAAAGTGCGATGTATGTGAATTACACAGATAATAAACAAATATGTTTCAAGTGTTGTAAAACAACTTTGATTAATTACTATATACTTAAAGAGCGTTCATCATATCGAGGAAAAGGGAACAACTAAAGTATCAAGAGACAAAAGTAATCTAGAAATTACATAAAAATGTAATTAACAATGTACGATCAAAATTGAGAAGAAAAATTAAAATGCGCATTGAATGAATCAATGGAACGAATATTTTATTGTAAATCATAACTTGTTACAAAAACGTAATAAAAACTCAGTGTATTAAATAATTTTAAATAAGTAAAGAAATATTTCAAAAATTATGAGCAATAAGAGTAAGTTTTACCTTTGTACATGATAATTTTAACTCTTGTTTTTTGTTAACGGTATCTTAAAATTAATAAGTAGAAACAAACGCTTAAATATAATATTGAATAGATTCAAGTAATTGTTGAAATCAAATCAAAAGTATAATTGCAAATACAAAATGTTATGTCAAAATTACAGTAATGCATATTTTTGACTTCGACCAAAGCAAAAATCAAAAGTTTTGTGTAAGTGTGAGTAATAAATGTAAAAACTATAGTAAGTTTAATTTAATCCAATTTCGTATTTTTTATGATCTTTTTTTTTTTTTTTTTTTTTTTTTTTTTTTTTTNTTATACAACTTTCCTACAAATACGCAAAAAAAATTACACACCATGAACAATGAGAGAAATTATTCAACCGATACTTGATTGAAAGAAGTTGTATAACTTTTTACTCCAACCATTATTTGTATACATTTTTAATATATGTATTTAAGAGTGTAATATATGTTTTTTTTTAGTCTTTAAACTTATCTGTTACTTAACATTTTCATTATAAATAATTTATGCACAAATGCTAATAAAAGTAATCATCGATAATGCCTTGTCTTTCTTGTACACCTAGTACATACTCATGGTTCACTTGGTCTTGCTCACCTCTATATGCGTCTTCTATCTCCCGGGGTGGTATTGGCATTGGTATGCTACGTGTCAAGAATTATTTCATAATTTATACGATTATTGTATTTATTAAACATACTCTGTGCATGTACTTACCCGTTGTGTCTTAGAAAATTATAAAGTACTCCGCATGCTTTTACAATTTCACAAGCAAATAGAGGATCGTAATCTAAAGACCGATCTTTATTCAAACACCTGAAGATTTCTTTAATAATTCCGAAAGTTTGCTCCACAACACAGCGAGCTCCTCGGAGTGCATCTGAAAAACGCCTTTCTGGAGTATTTGGTGCTGCATTGAGTAAAGGGGTCAACAATATCGGAGATACAGTATAGCCACTATCTCCTGTAAAATAACAATCAATAAACGAACTCATTTGAGTGCTCACAAATGTTATTGTTATACTACATATTGTTTGTAGTACATGTAGCTACTGCATACCAATCACATAATATCTTCCCTCGTTGTCTACGATTTCTAGATTTGCTCTTAGACTGTACATATGTTCTTTCACCTCGCTGAAATCCCACACGAATTGATCATGCGTAGATCCATTGACTATTCTCATACTGAGAATGTTGTAATCGGTGTCGCTTATCTATTTTGAAAAAATACAATATTTACACCCATGATGCAAGTAAAATGATGCATGTACGCTATAGCGATAAAACATTGTTAATAATAATTGAAAATACTTACAATTTAAACGTTGAGAGAATGTTGCTGGTGATGATTTAGAAATGCTTCTTCATGCTCCACTGGCTTATGAATTTTAGGTAAAGTGCAGTCGAGGGCACCTAAAACACCGGGAAATCCTATTTTTTCTTCAAACCTACAAAATTTTATAATTAATTTCTATACTTTGCTTGGGTGCCTGTCAAACGAGGCCGTGAAACATATTAATTTTGATTGCATTTGGAAAACTGACAGTAGAAGTGACAAATAATATTAGTACGGGTCCGATTATTATGTAACACAGCATTCCATGAATTATTTAAATGAACCCAAAGTACACAAAATATTGTTTATAAGCATGCATGAAACAGTCTTTACAAAGTAGCATTTGTCGACAGCATACAACTTATAATTGCATCTTGTTCTACGAATTTTTATCCGCTTACATTTAAGCTTGGATGAGTATTTTTAAAAAGAAAATTATGCAAAACGTTTAAAAATAAACAACTATAAGTAAAAAAAAAAGAAAGCTACAAAACTTTTTATAAACAGAAATGACAGGGAGAGTGACTAGAGTAAGCTTGCATGCATGAGTGTAAGACAATCTACTAGAAGGTGAACATTGTATATATAAGGAAAATGAAAACATACCGTTGCGATATTATCTGCCTTTCCACAGGATTTCGTGGGAACACTATGAATTGATCGCTGAGCATAATTATTGCTGGTATTACAGAATGTAGAATTATACTAAAAGTACTCTGGCTCATCGGGTGATGCACATCAGCGGAAACTCCTTTTTGATATCCTCCCTCAGCTAGAAAACGAACAACCGCAAGAACTTGATGATGAGGTTCAATTGATTGACCATGGTAGTTCAAGTATGGAGCTAATAAATTTACTAACAGATCGGCGACCCTGGGAGTCATACGGTAGTAACGTCTAAATAATTCATCTCCCATGAACAAGGGGTTGTTAACTTGACGAATAAATGTATAAACAGCACGTGTCGACCGTCTTCTTTCTTGAACCTCATCATCAACATCAAATATTGCAGCCGCCGCCAACATGATTCCCTTAAAAGATGATCTTTAACATAATTTAGTTTCACTTATTGAGTTTAATCCTAATTCAATTCTGTAGTCATTAAAAATATACTTACACAATAAAAAAAAATACGATCTGCCTTGATATACGTGTTGATGGCTTTATGGCTACTAATGCTACTATTATGCTGTTGTACGTCGACAGTGGGCAGAGTCGGCTATTCGGCCCTACTAACGTAACCTATATCTCGAGTATTATTGAACTATAAGGTTTGTTCAAGCTAATTATCTGGGTGTCTCCAAGAATGGAATGAACAAGTGTTGTGAGTGTCTTCTCTGAGTCTCTCCGAAAGACTCTGACTCAGAGATATTTCTAAATTAAAAAATTTTTTTTTTAATTTTCGTTGCATGTAACTTTATAAACGTCAAAGTCATTCACCTTGTCAGGTTTTGGAACATTCCAAAAGTATGTGATGCGAGTGCCCAGGGCACCCACGTTTTGGAATACGCCCTTCGTCAACATACAAGTTCTGTGAACTTACCTTGCGCTCTGGACAAAGGCATCACGCCTGTTTTGGACAAGTATTATGAAAATGCTGCGTAGCATGAGGAGCCGAATATTTTTTCACGTGTGCCGTTTCTAGTGCACAAGTTTTTACAACTCTGTTACTCGAAGCTGCGCCAGCGAAGGTCTTAGTTCTTCCTCCCTATTAACGATCCAAGGATTAGAGGACTCGACGATTGATGATAAACAAGTGAAAACGAGGGAATTACTATGGAAGAAAAAACAAGTATACAGCCTCCGAACTCATTTGCGTAAGTTTTTGACTCTTGCTTGTCATAAAGTACTTAAATAGAAGGCCCGGTTCGAGAGGAGAATAAACTTTTGATATTTATGTACATTACGAATAAATTTGGAAAAAAATAAAGTAATTGAAATTGCATGTCACGTAATACATTTGATTTTACGTATCGGTGGAGTATAAAATTCGTTTTTTATATGTTAATTGTATTAATCGTATTCAGCAGTAGTGGTAGAAGCTATTTGTAAGGGACGGGGGGGAGGGCACGAGACACAAATAAAAGTACAGCTACCACCATTTTTTATATTGCGTAAACAAATGGAACCGATGTTCTCAACTCTTTCTTAACAGCGGGTGTAAAAAAATTATTTTTTGTAATCGGACAACCTTCTGTTGATAGTTAGTACAACAATGTTGTAGATTATGTATATGACGCTATAGGTAAACAAAAGTCATAGTGAACAATTTCGGTATATAAGTATGGAAAAATAATTTTATAGGTGTATAATAGGTTTGTTCGATTCAACTGTATGGTGCGCTCTGAGCTTCGGACACCCTAACCGAACACGAGTTTTTGTCCAGAACGCACCGAACAGTTCCGGGTGAATCCCAATGTACATACACATTTCTATTTGCATGTATGTAAACAATACAGAAAGACGTGTTTATGTCTATACTATCCTGTAATTGTATAACTTACTAGACAGTTTTGATACATTTCTTGTTTAGTAGTAACCAACAAATAGTAATATTACTGCCATGTTGACATTGTAGATAATAAATTATCTCGTCTATGAGCAAATTAGTTCTGTTCGCTCATGAATAGACATATATATCAGAAGTAGCCCGGAACTCTTCGGTGCGCTCCAGACAAAAACTCGAGTTCGGTTGGGTGTCCGAAGCGCACTGGACAGTTGAATCGAACAAATCTAATTACGTAAAAAAGCGCTTACATATTAATTTTTTTCATTAAAAATTATATCAAATGATACATTAACCGTAGGACTACAAGACTGCAAATGAATGAGAAACAGAGATGGTGTGTAATAAATTACATGAAAAATCACAGCAATTATGCGGCGAAACGGCGCACGGGTGCTAACGGGCAGCAACTTCGAGATGAGCAAGGCGATAGGCTAGCTTTTGAAGTTAACCGTTTCGGGCCTTCGAAGACAAGACAGCAGTGCATTGACGTTAGAATAATTATTATGATAATTATATCATGCATAATTATATCCCATTTCAACATTTCAATGTGTGTATGCATGACAATAATGAAAAAAATATAATAATAATATGAAATATAAAATGTTTTAGCACTGGGACAGGCTCCGTGGAAAAGCCAAAAAGTATCAAGCTGAAAAAAAAAAATTTTTTTCTAAAACGGGTAACAACAGCGGTGGTGCAAGCTTTAAAACCAACGACTTGTATGAAGCTGTACTCGCCATTGTGGGAACCGAACATCAGAATGGTACTGAACTTGTTCCGGAAAGCGGCATTGTATGGAGACAAGCCGTATGTGAGTCTGTACAATATATACATAAACTATTCGTTAAATATAACCGAACAGTAGTAATTTTATCGCGTTTAACCCTTCTATTTTGTAATTTTATTTGTTGAAATAGGTAAGTCTTCGCCCAGTACTGAAGCAGATGATGTTCCTCTCACTAGTGAAATAACTGAACCTAATCGACGATTAGCATTTCCATTGGAAGATTTTGGATCTATCCCTAACGTAAAGGCGATTGTAGGTGGTTCAACGTCAACGGTTACAACACTCGATGATGATGTTGCATGCTCAACAACAAGCAAAATTTCGCCCGATTTATCACGTACTGCATATCCTGATTCAGAGCCCAATGAAGAGTCAGTTCCTGTATTAAGAAATTTCACATCTGGTTTACAAATGGAAGTAGAAGAAACATATTCAAAATCTGCAGAAAAATCTCCCCAGAGTCTTCTTGCACTTGAAACAAAAAGAGAATTTTCGTTTGGTGAATTCGGTAATGCATGAGATTCATACAGACTTTTTTACGTGTACGTCTTTGACTTTCAGGGATGTTACATAAAATGATGTTTAATAATTTGTTTTTTAGGTACTGAAAAGTACAGGAAGCAAAAAGTTCTGACGCAAACAAGTGCAACGAAAACGAAAATTGTGGGATTAACTCCAAAACGTAAGGGACACAGTAGACAAGCCAACTCAATGTCAATAAGGCAAACACCCAAGTTGAGTAAAGGCTTGGGTTATATGACACTTACACAAATGAGAGCTCTACAGAAATCAAAGTCAGAAACTGTTGATAATAAATCGTACAAAGCAACATTCGAAAACCATGTCGAATCCTGGCGAAATAAAAGTAAGGAGCCTTTTATATGGTTATGTACGGTAATGGGTTGCATTAAAAAAAATATATAATTTTATTTCCAGAGAGTCCAAACCACACTAAAACTGTTGCAATTGATGCTATCAACACAAATACGAACACCGTTGGCACACTTGTGAATGAATTAAAAGATTTAAAAAAAATTGAAGAACAACGACTAGAACTTGACAAAGCCCAATACTCTAAAGAAAATAAGTTATATGAATCAGCGATAGAATTTTTTCAAGCCTCCATGAAGTATTACAAAAAAAAAATTATAAATTTATAACTTAATAGTGAATAATGCATGCTGAATTGAATAATAAGTTTCGTAAAAATTAAAATATTACCTAATAAGAGGACGTACACCTATACGAGTAAAAAAAAGGGTCGTAACTGAAGACCAAACAGAAATAATGTATGAAACACAGTTTTACGTCTTTATGTCAAAACATTTGCGTTGATATGTATACATAAAGCACTTTAAATTTTGTGAGGACATATACATACGTATATTTAAAAAATGCATATTAATGGTTGGAGTAAAAAGTGGCAACTATTTTAATATTATGCATGTATGTATATTACACTCTTAAATACATATATTAAAAATGTATACAAATAATGGTTGGAGTAAAAAGTTATACAACTTCTTTCAATCAAGTATCGGTTGAATAATTTCTCTCATTGTTCATGGCGNGGAGTAAAAAGTGGCAACTATTTTAATATTATGCATGTATGTATATTACACTCTTAAATACATATATTAAAAATGTATACAAATAATGGTTGGAGTTAAAAGTTATACAACTTCTTTCAATAGTCGTATTCAAGTATCGGTTGAATAATTTCTCTCATTGTTCATGGCGTGTAATTTTTTTTGCATATTTGTAGGAAAGTTGTATAAATCAGTACACTTTTTTTTATATTTCATATAAACCTTTCGTATGTGGTCTGCGTACAGCAACTGATGTATGTTTGTAGATTAGTTTTTAACAGTTGAACTAAAGAAGGAAAAAAAAAAAAAAAAAAAAAAAAAAAAAAAAAAAAAA